ATAGATTAGCATATAATAGATTTTAAAAAGTGTCAGGAAGTTTTAGATCAGCATAATCAATTTTAAAAGACATTTATTTTATATATATTCCATTATTCTTTGGATAAAAATCAAAATAATGTCCTAAGGTTATTTTTTTAATAATTAATATTCACATACATATCATTTGTCTTCCAAAGAGGCTGATGTAGTCTTTATTTTTTAAACGTAAAATAAACCTTGTCCCACCAGTTTAAAACATTTTTTAAAAAAAAAAATGAACCAATATGAAAATATAAAATATGCGAAAATCCGACAAAAGAAGATGTGGAGGAAATTATATCATAGATATTAGAGTGTACTCCACTACTTAACACTGAATAGAAGAAAGAGTAACCAGACTATCTAGGAAATTGTCAGAGTGCCAACAAAAAACAAAAAATGGATGCTTACTTGGAAATGACATAATATACTTGACAAATGACTTATCACATACAGTAAGAGCAACTTCAGTTCAGTTGGTAATAGAACCTCAACGTATTGCAATGCACGGAGAAACACTTCTACGTATAAAGTCAATAAGAGTACGAATGTGATCTGAGGCAGTGCTCTCCGTTTCTCAGAATGAAATCCCCAACGATTTGTCGCGATTTATTTTCGAAATGCGACAGTATCATTACATGCAGGTGACTTCCAGATATGTAAAAGACTTGTTCCATTGACTATTGGAGTATATCTTATAAAGGTTTCTTTAAAAAATCTATCAATTAATTGTATAGGCAAATACTCAAGATAAGGTAATTTGGCACAAAACGCTCCTACTTAAAACTACGACGATCCTTCAGGAAACCATACAATGTGAAATATATTAAAATCCAAAGAATTAAAAAAGCTATCACGTTATTACAGCGTTTCTCAAACTGTGGAGCGCACCCCATTGGAGGGGGCATAAAAACTCTACAAGGGGGCGTGTATATTGAAAAGTCGAGAACAAAACATTATTTAAACAAACAAAATACATTCTCTCACCATAATAAAAAATAAAATATACATTTACACTGATATATTACACTTATAAATATATTGCTGCTACACAATTAATTTTATAATTAATTTAACAATACTGAGTTAAAAACAAGTTTATTAATTACCAGTGACCCCATGGGCTTGTCATATATATAAATTAAAACAAAAAATAACACTTATCTTGATAATTTTTGTACGGTTTATAATTAAACCTTGACTGCCGATCAAAAGTTTTGCGATTTGCTACCAAATGCCAATCGTTTTCCACGTACGCACACGCATGTGACGTATTGGGGGAGGAGGAAGGTGCAAAGAAGCAAAAATAATCTGGAATAAGAGTAATTCCTTCGCAAACATTGTCAAGGTCCTTTTATTGCTTTCCAAAGTCTTCGGAATAATTTTACAGATAGCAGTGTACTGAAAAAATCGTACTTTGGAAAGACGCATATATACGTCTGGGGTAAATAAACACTTTGGCTTAGAGAGACGTTTATATACATAAGGGGTGTTGCTTAAGAGGTAAAAGTAGTATCGTAGTTTTAGCGTCAAAGTATAGTATTGAATTCAGTACATTGTTATTGTATGGGGGGCGATGAAAATTATGATTGAATGTTGGGTCGCGAGTGTTGCAACTTTGAGAAGCACTGCGTTTTTAGAATAAGCAAAGAACATTCAACAAAGAAAATCTTTTTGGCCAAACCTCCTGCAGTAAGAACTAGTGGTCAACCAAACCTCAGGAATGTGAGGTGACTGCCTAAAAAGGGATTTCGTTACACTAAGAGGGGCTAATTGGTGAACCATGGCAAAAAAAAGGGGGTGAACATGAAGGGAAGTTCTTGAGAAGACCAAAGCCCACCCGGGACTGTCGCTCCATCGAAAAAGAAGAATCCAGAGAAATGGAATTTATTATGTATGTAAAATATCTGACTGAACAGAACTTGGAAATATATCCATTTCTCTGTAAAAGATCACCTATGCCTAACTCTCCCGAGAATATATGACTTAAAGATGGTTCTCCGTCCTTCTTTTTTTAGCTTATTTCCTTGAAATATATGGTGAATACTATAATATGAAATTAATATTGCTGTATTTTGCATGATTTAGAAATCTTTTCTCAATTGATAAAATCTTGTTATATCGGGTGTTTTTTAGAGGTATAGAACTTTAAATTGCAATAAAACAACGCTGTATTATTCGATTGACATGAGTTATTTTTATTCGAAAGATAATATTGTGGCATTACATTTTAAATATGATTTCTGGCATAGGACTGCCACGGCTGGCTCGGATGTAATCCAATCTGGACGTCCAATTTTCGATGACATTTTCCAACATTTGTGGCCCTATATCGGCAATAACACGGCGAATGATGTCATCCAAATTCTGAAGCGTTTGTGGCTTATCCGTATAGACCAATGACTTTACATAGCCCCACAGAAAATAGTCTAGCGGTGTTAAATCACAAGATCTGGGAGGCCAATTCACAGGTCCAAAACGTGAAATTAGGCGGTCACCAAACGTGCTTTTCAAAAAATCGATTGTGGCACGAACTGAGTGACATGTTGCGCCGTCTTGTTGGAACCACAGCTTCTGGACATCATGATTGTTCAATTCAGGAATGAAAAAGTTAGTAATCATGGCTCTATACCGATCACCATTGACTGTAGCGTTGTAGCCTTCATCGTTTTTGAAGAAAGCTTCCACCAGTCCATAAAGCGCAGCAAACAGTCAGTTTTTCTGGATGTAACGGTGTTTCTACATACACTTGTGGATTAGCTTCACTCCAAATGCGGCAGTTTTGTTTGTTGACGTAGCCATTCATCCAGAAAGTGCGCTTCATCGCTAAACAAAATTCGCTTATGAAAATCGGGAACAACGGCCATCTCGTTTTGAGCCCATTTGACGAATCTACGCCTTGCTTGATCATATTTAAAATATAACGCCACAAGATTATCTTTCGAATAAAAAAAATGCATGTCAATCGAATAATACATCGTTGTTTTATTGCAATTTAAAGTTCTATACCTCTAAAAAAACACCCTATATGTATATAGGTTTTACTTTTATGTTATAAGTGTATTTTGACTGAAAATACACTTATAGAAATTTTTAATTTGAAATATTTTTGTATTTGTTTAACACGTATCTTACTCGAAGAGAAAGCTTTTTTATTTTAAACTTAGTCAATTGATGTCTCAATCGATTTTATGAAGAATATTTTACGGATATTTCTTATTATTTTTAATTCCACCATAAAGAGCAACGAGCATTTATGTGCAGTTTCATAGATTTCCCAGCGTAAAATGCAAAATTATTTAAAACCAATTTATAATTTTATTTAATAAATTCTAACCTCCTGTACTTTTGAAACTCGATTTTTAGTAAATATGTAAATGTTTTATTTTCAAATAAGTAAAATTGATATATTTAAATGTTTTTTTTTAAAAACAAAATATTTCATGTCACGAAAATCAAATAATTTTAATAAAGTAATGTCATAAAAATAGCCAATTATATAAAAATGCTTGTTTATATAATTTTACATCTTTTTGTTTTCTAATATGCTGAGACAAGACATAGAGTACCTGAAATTTTCAATAACTAAAAACATAAGATCAATTATGATATCGTCCTTTGAAATCCAGAATAAAATTGGTTTCGAGGCTATAAACAACTAATGAATTAAATTCTGGTTACTAGAAGAGGATATCTTTTAAGGTATAAAGGTACGTTGGGAACAGGGTTTTTAAAATGCGTATATATATATATATATATATATATATATATATATATATATATATATATATATATATATATATATATATATATATATCTGGGTGTGTGTATTTCAATATTTAGTTTCATTTCAAGTGAACTAAACATATGAAACGTTTTTAACAAAATATTGTTAAATTAAACAAGATATAGAATTGCGTGCAAATTTTTGACAAAAAACTCAGGCAAAATGACGTTTTCAAAAATATTTTCTTTTTAGGGAAAATGTTTCTTCAATAATAATTTTTTGTGTAAATATACCAGTACAGAACATAAATTTGAATTTTTGAAATATATAATTTAGAAGTGAATTTATATATATTTGTATATTGTAACTCCTTAACTGCCGATTAAAAGTTTTGACTGGTTTCCAGTGCTTCTGCTGTTCCCTTAGGCATGCATATGCGTTGTATAGGGTGGAAAAGAAACAATAAATATAATCAAATTTTTAGCTAAAAGAAGTACATTTTTATCACAAACACTCTCATTTTATAGCATTCCAAATCCTTTGGATTACATACAAAGACAGCAGCACAAAAAATAATGATAATAATAATATTATTTCAGGAAGATTTCTATATACGCCTGAAGAACCCGTTGAGCAAGACGGACATATACGATGGAGGTAGTTAAAGGATTAATAGATTTCTCACTAATCAGAAAAACTTTAACAAAAAACACCAAAATTCTAAGAAAAACGGGAACTTTTCAAAACTCCTAATTCAAACTCTATAGCGAATTCCAAGCTATATGTAGGTAAAATATTATTCGTATCAAACAATTATCCGTAAAATGAGAATATGTCTTGTAAGTTAATAATTTTTTTTTTCATTTTTACTAAAAAATTAATTTAAATACTTTTTGTTGTAATAATATAAAAAAGCTATTATATATATATATATATATATATATATATATATATATATATATATATATATATATATATATATGTTCTAAGTCAGATGACCCTTAATATATTTTTATAAAAGTATTCAGTTATTAAAAGCTTTTATTTAACTTGCAATGTAAAATGTTCGGGTGGAATATTGCAACTGAATTTTGAAGCTGATGTCTTCAAAGGATTGAGCTGAAATTTAGTACGTTTAGTTTGGATGACAATGCATGTTTTGACGATTTATATTCTGATATCGACTTAGCTACTGTAACGATCTTGTTCAGATGTTAAGGCGAGCATGTTTACATTAACAAATATGTGGACCAGGGGCGTCGCTTAGATTCTAGAGCGCTCGCTTAGCAAGCGAAAGGTACGGGGATCGATACCCCGCACCTCCAATTAATATTTTTGCGTGTAAAAGATTTTTGAAATTTATTTGACTTGTACAACGAGATATTTTACAATACTTCCACTCAGCATACGTACAAAGTTTACTACATTTTACAAGCATTCATTTAACTTGCTATGTAAAATGTTCGGGTGGAATCTCGCAACTGAATTTCGTAGCTGATGTATTCAACCAATTGAGCTGTAACTTTGTATAAACGTTTAGTTTGGATGACAATGCATGTTTTGATCATTTATATTCCGATATCGTAATTAATTAAAAATACTAATTGGATGGTCTGGCGCTGCACTGGTTACCTCTATTTTTATAAATTTTCTCTTTCCTTCACAAAATCAGTACTTCTTATACTCTTTTTCGCAATGATCTCCATCCCCTCTCCTTTTCCGCTTAGTCCTTTGTTGTTCGGGCTTTTAGCTAGTGTATAACTTAAAATTCCTTGTTTCGAAATTGTTCCGCTTCTTTTCTTTGTCAGACAGGCTTATATCCCCATGGAATTGCGTAAACATTTTTAAATGCTTAACATATTGTCATAGAAATCCCCCTTCCCCTCTCGCTATCAGAGCTCTCGAGTAAGTAAACATTCATCGATTCTTAAGGAGCTTGACACGTGCAGTCATCTAGTGGCACAAAAAGTAATAAATTATTGCACACAAAATATTCGTAAAAAAAGTTTTTGGCATTTTATTTTTTAAATCACTAACTGTAAAAAATCAAAATTTGAGTTTTTTTAAAGAATCATTTTCATATAAACGCATCGATATTAAGGATAAAGAGGAGTTTCAAAATCAATTTTTTTAATTACCAATGAATTTTTTTCAAATTTGCAGGAAATGTGTAATATGTTACCAGATATCAATGTACAAAGTTTTGTCAAAATATCTTTAATGGTTTCTGAGATTAAAATTTTTATTTTTAATTGTACCGAATAATTAACGTATTTCAAAATGCTCCATGCGCAATCAGTTTCAGTCTATGCAGTCAATATTCTCTCATAATGTTCCTTTTATACATAAAAACAAAATTTAGTGAAGTTTTCTTCATATTTCTCTTTTTAAAAAATTAAAAAAATATTTATGTTGAAAATTTCAGTTTTTTCCTTAAAACTAACTAAAATGTTTACATTCTCTGGTTTTTATTACTTTCTCTTCACTTAAATAAAAAAAACATTCACTAGCATATATTTATACACCTATAGAGAATATTTGTGCAAATTTTCACTGCAATTGGGAAAAATGTGTTGCGCAGGGAACATTTTAAAGTTATTGAAACGACAAAAATTATAATTCCCTTAAATGAAGGTTTTTATGAGTATTATGATTATAAGTCCTCAATCACATTTGATAAAAGCAATTATTGCTATAATTAAGAGATACCATATTATTTACAACTTATATATACTGATTTTCTTTGTCATTATAATAAATATACTAATTTTCAGAAATAAACAAATTTTCAGAAGGAAATGAAAAATTTAATATTTTTGATGTTATCATTAAAATATGACTGAAAATGTATTTCATAGTCAAGCAAACTTTACAACTTTATATACAACATATCTAAATGTAAAATAATGTAAATAATAAAATATGTCTGTTTGATCACAGGATTATTACTTTTATTTTTGAATAACTTACCATTGTAAGAGTACCGTGATTTCAAGCTATATATATATATATACAAATAAATTTTTTAAAAAACCAGATAGAACTAAAATTTTCCAGCCCCATAACTGAGGTCATTCTTTTCTTTATTTTTTGTCATTTTTTTATATTTTTGAATTTTTTTCTCTTTTTATATTGTTCAGAAGCTTTCGCTTTCTTTTGCGATAACCTTCGGTTATCGCGTCTGTGGGCAATTTTAAATGCAGCGTCTACCATTTCATTATTGTTTTAACTTTAACGTTTCAACATAGCCAATGTTTACTTCACTGACCTCTGCGGTTACTGCAAGATTAATTCGTTTCTTCGAAACAAACACATCTTTGGGGCATTTCCTCCAAATACAGCTATGCAAATTTCATTAGCATTTTGGGTTTTGCCAGAAACACAGCGAAGAAGAATTTCATTTGAGGCAAGGCGCTGGTACACTGGCATAATTTTAGCAACTACTTCTGACAGTTTTGTTTTCATACTTTTATGACTACCTGGTACTTTATTATCTGCTTTAGCTCTATTATAAAAGCACCAGGATAGCTTTCCGTCAGGGCATTTGCTGTGCATTGGCTTTGCATCAGTCGACATACAATGAAAAAGAGTTGCAAAAATTGACGCCTTCATCTTCTCAACCTCTGGAACATTATCGACAATTGCTTTCCGATAAAAGTTCTGTAACTTAGTAATTGTTGCGTCAGTCAAACTACCTTGTTTACGACCACCTAATGTCACACCTTTCGACCGCCACTCTTTAACTTTATTCCGGAGTGCTGATCGTAAACGTTTAGCTACGTGGTTAACACACTCTTCTTTTACAATGACGACATCATCTCCATACACTTTTTTTTCATTTAGATGTTGGTGTGTTTTTGCATCACCGTCACAAAGAACAGTAGTGTATCTCATTGCACAGTCAGATATTGACCGGTTCCACAAAATGTAGGCAGCATGCATTTCCATACTACCTGAGGAACCATCAAAGTTTTTCTGGCATTTTTCTGAATGCCCCGATTTCCAAATCTGAAACTCGGGGCTTGCTTCACCCATATCTTTTGCAGCCATACTACATTCATGACAATACTTTGATAAAACTTCAAAGTCAACAACAAGGCTCGTCATTATATCGATAACAATGCCGATGCAATATAGGGACGTATGGCCTCTTTTATGCCACGTTCCATCGTATGAGACAGTTATATTAATAATATTGTTCCGACAGAGATCGGGATGTGAATATAAATTTGTTTGCCTCACGTGTTCCCTTGAGATTCGTAACATTTCAACTTTCGCAGTTTCATTTTTATTACATAAGTTTTCCAAGCATTTCGAAAATGTTTTACGATCCATGCATGGTGTACCTAAAATTGCCGAGAAAGTTTCTAAGGCTGCGTGACCCCCTCCCTATAGCCAAGAATGCAGATGTAAGTTTTGTGTTGATATCAAATTTCCTGCGGGGTTTTCTCGTTGACTGGTGAAGGCATGTCCATATGATTTTTTACATTTTTCGCAAACAAGTTCCATTTTGGTGGAGAAACCGTATGAATTGTGCGTTAAAATATTCAATGAGAACTGGTTGCAATCACTACATGGAACATTTTGTAGCAATGAGGTCCACATTGAATTATTGATAAAATAATATTCATTTGATTCTGAATTTACATCATTGGCACTCATATCTGATGTACTAGGAACAGCTTCAGTAGAAATTTCATCACATTTATTATCCGATGATACATTATATGCAGAAGATTTTCCTTTTTCCAAATTTCTTATACAGACAGCTCTTCGTTTGTTTAGTCGCCCTTTGGGCTTTCGATATTTTGAACTAATGCTATGCATTTTCACAAAACAAAATAAGCTGTGATAATTTAGCTCAATAGAATAGAAAATATATATATATAATATTAAAATATTATCGCAATATAGAGCTTTAGTTCTGAAAAGAACTGTTTCTTATTTATGTAACGAAACTCAAAGTAAGCTGTTTTCGAAACTAAGTAAACAAATATTTGATACCTTACAGTTTGAGTTACAGTTATTTTCGCGTTGCCAAATTTTAGAAAAATATATAATTCATAAATAGAGTAAAAAAAAATAAAACACATAAAGTAAATAAAAGTAACGCTCAAAATCAAAAAATACAATACAGAAGCGTAATTCTACAACCATTGCAAGAAGCTGAGTTTGACAGAAGTAAACAAAGGGGCGTGGTCAAACAGGTGTTCGAATTGAAAAGAGCATAACTTCCATAAAAATGATCGGAATTGAAAAATTCTTTTTGCATTCAGTAGCAGTGATTACAAGCATTAATAATATGCTAAAAGTAAAAAATCGAAAATTTGATCGATTTTCACCAATTTGAAAGTCCACTGTACTCTTAATTCATTTTAGAAAAAAATCATAATACATGTAAAGTATCTTTGTATTGTAAAAAAAATACTGTATCCTGATAAAATAAATTTTCTTTTCAATTAAAAAATTGCTCGGAAAGTTATAAAGGCGCGAATAAAATGTTGAGTATTTTTTTTAAAAAAAAAATCTTAAAAACTAAATAATGATGTTGTTTTGAAACCGGGTACAAAAGTTTAGAATGCTGTGCTCTAAACGATCAATCCACGAAATCTTTGGAAAAAGACGAAAAAAAAGACATTTAAAATAAAAGGAAGGGATATTCAGTTTCGCATTGCGTTATTTGTTAAAGTTTAATTTTTTTTCGGGCTACATTTTTAAGTAAATGGCATCAAACTTCGTATATCGATTGCAAACAACGGTCATTTTTAAACAAACAATGTAACAAAAAAATTCTTAAATATTTCTCGCAAAAGGAAAAAAAACCCTGAAAAACACATTTTTTTTTCAACAGTAATTTTGAAGCAATTTTTTCAATTTTATTACAGATTACAGATAATATCATTCTAACAACAGGAAAAAAAATGTTCCATGAGATTATTTTAATAAATAAAGAAATTATTAAGTATTTAAATAAAATTTTGAGTATTTTTTGAGGCATCGTAAAAAAAACACGTTTTTGACTTTTTTTTTAAATGAATGATTCTAAAACAGAAAAAAAATGAATTTTATTAGTGTAGAATATCATTTCATTAATGTGAAAGAAAAGGCTTTCGGAACCATTTATAAATCATTTTCATTAAAACGTATCGATTTTGACTCATATTAGAAAAAATCATAAAAAATATAAAATATCCTTATTTTATAATATAAATTATAACATTTCGTGGCGAAGTAAATGATCCTTTCGATTCTGTAATTGTTTTTTTATATGAAACTTATAAAAGAGAAATTAGATTTTTTAAAGACGTTTGGGATAAAAAATAAG